GCAGTATTGACATTTTAGACTGAATAGTTCTGTATTCTGGGCATTTTTTTTTTATTTCTAAGTAGGGATAGAATATAATAGTGAATAGATTTATATAAAGTTCCAAATATTAGCCTTTGGATATTCCATGTCCCATATTGTAACACTAGCAATGTGCTAGTGCCAGAGTACAAATGGCCTTTTATTTAATTTTCCAGCTTCATGTTGTGGATGTGTTTTGGCTTACAATTCTTCTTTCTATGCTCAACTATAATTAAAACAGATGTTAGTTACAATTGTTCATTAAGTCTTATTCATATTTCCTGTTACCAGAATCTGACAAGGACTTTTGAAAGGAAAATAACATTTTCAAATAAAAAATACCCTAAAAACATTTTTTTAAAGAAACAAAACAATTCAAAACATAAACCTGGAAATCTAGATTCAGAACTCTATATATTTGTGCATATATACACATATATATCTCTTTATAATTATTTTTAGAAAAAAATTCTTTTAACCACAAATTTAATCACAAGGAACTATAATTAGTACTTTCCACGGTAATAGCAGCATACAATTTTAGTTCTCCCACAGATGATGAGGGACAGAATTCTTCTCCATTTACTGGGAGCCTACAAGTGCCACTTACTATAATTTCCCATGGACTTTGCAGGAAAATTGCATGGGCAAAGAAATAGAGATTAGTACTTTTCTTTCTCCAAGTATTCTCAGGTGAATGACCCCCAATTTTTCGGTAACAAATAGGTGTGGAATAATCTTTTGGTGAATCTGATCCTATTCTTATTTGTATCATAAAACTGAAACATGTTAGCATTTTATTCTTACAGCTGGACTTCGTAACTCACAAGAGACTTTTGGTATATTCTACACTAGTATTTCTCAAAATATAATCCCATACTTGATTACAATTACCACTGGTGTTTTTGTGATATCAGCCCAGACCTGTGGACTCAGAATCTTGCAGATCAATGAGTAGGGAGAAGGGATCTGTATTTTTGTAAGTTCCCTGTGTTATGAATATTCAAGTTTGGGAACCACTGTTTAATATAATAATGCCTAATACATGGCTTATGTGCCTTAATTTCCTTATTGTGCATCTGTTGCAGACATAATAATTGATCACAACATTTTTTCCTGCAAAGCTAATATAAAGCCACATAAATCTACTCAACATTGTGCCTAAACAGCTGGTTGGCGTGGATGACAAGTCTCTCTTGGAACGATTCTATACCAACATTGCAATTTGGCAATATTGTCCTTCCCTAAGGACATAGCTAAGAATTTAGAGAGAAACACTGATGTTCTTTAAATTGCAAAGAGAAGTCAGAAAATTTTTGCATAAAGAATTGGTTATAAGGCCTAGAGCAGAGTAGAAAGCAAGTCAGAAACTATGAAGTGTCAGCTCTGGAAATCACATTCATAACAACAAAAACAATCAATGATAGAGGAAAACATAAACAGATGATGTAGTCATTCAAAGGACACAATTAAATGAGGCCATTAAATAGCTCTTTATGATTCTATTTAGTAAGCTCTGAAGGCTAAAATATGGATGGCACAAATTATTTTCATAATTATGACCCAAAATACCCAGAAAAGGATAAGTCTTATAAGGGCCTGTGCAATGAAGAGGCCCCAAAATTGACCTTTTCATACCTTAGGTTCAAGGCATTATTGTTTTAGAAAGTTCCCTAACAAAGGAAGCTAAAGAAAGAGAAGTGCTTGAAATGTAAGTTATTATCTAATTGATAATATTAATTAAAAATATTTTCAATCTTAGGTTTTCAGATACTCATTTTTACATTTATATTTATTTGTTTATTCTCCTATTGTAATACTATTTATTGAAGAACTCAGTAATAACATTTGTATATTGTCTTGACATCATGCTCTGTAAAATTGAACTTCTTGCAATATAGTCCCACTTTTATGCAATCAATTTAGAATGATATCAGGTGATTTACTGTCAAATAATTCTTACTAAATGTCCCTTTTCCATTTGTATTCAATTAATTTGATAAGGGTATATGTTAAGGTGATAATTTCTTAAGCAGTACATCAAAAATATAAAAACAAATATACTTATTGCTTTTGTGATAACTGCACAGAGCTAGGATCTGTAAATCCTCACTCTGTGTAGTATAAAGATGATAACTTATGGATATTGTAAAGCCAATAAATTATTCTTCAAAAATGGTTTTCGTCATTCTTTAAAAAATATTTATCATGTTAATAATTAACACATAATCATAAAATCTAGTCAATATTTTATGTATTTTAAAAATGTAATCATTGTGGAGATCTGTTTTTCCATTTAAAATGTCACCTATTTTTTATATAAAATATTAAGAAAACTAATTGTTTCATGGCAATATGTTAACCAGATAGACTAAGGAAGGGGCTTCAGAGACATTCTTTAAGGGAATTGCTTCTGACAAAACACACCATTAATTTTATGGCCATATTAAAGCAACTTTTTACCATATCATTCCAAATTTACTCTTTTCCTTACTGGAATACTTGAAATAAGCACTGAACATGCAAACAAGAGATGGGACTTCTAGCCTTGGCTTAGGTTAGGTTAATTACTACTATAAAGAAAAATCATGTACTCAACTAAATTGTACATAGTGGTTCATGTTAGTATCCCATGAACACCTGGAAAACAAGTACTTACCATATGCAGATATACATACCCATATGTTTATGGGAAGAAAAAACTTGCAATGGATTGGTTAAATAAAGACACAGACTTTTAAAGATGGCTGCAACACAGATTTGCAGTGTGAACGTTTAACTATTTCATTGACAATGATAAAGATTCTTGCCACCCTTCTTCTTGTAAGCCATTGCATCGAGAACCACAACAGTGTTTCATTTAAAAGCAATCTAAGGCAGGAATGAACACGAGTGTGTCTATGGACTCTAATTATGATTTATTAAAAGATGCATTTTTAACAATTCTTATTTAACAAATTCCAGAATATCTGACTCTCTTTAAACTTTAATGTAGAAGCATCACTTTTTTTGTTTTGGGAATACTTCTTTAAAAGCAATTCTTTACTGTATATCTTTATGATTCTAGCAAATGTAATTAGGATGTAATACTATGTTGGGATTATTTTGCCAACTTTGTTAAATGACTTAGTTACAGAAAATATGACATCCTCTTAGCCTCTATTTTAAGTTTGACATCAAATAGTTAGAATTTTGAGGAAGTTTGGCCAATGATGAAATGATAGCTTGGTAGGGCATGGTAACCCAACTTTAAAAAATATATCTCTTCATAATTTGTAATGACAAGCTCTTAGGTTTTATTTTACTATACTAATGTATTCTATTCAGTACGTCTACGTACTATGGATATAGCTTACCTATATCCATAGTAGTAATACAGGCTCTTGTCTAAGAGTAATTTGTAACTCTAACCTTATATAATGTTTTAGTTTTATTATTTCTAGTGAATTACTACTGCATTTTCTCATGAACGTGATAATTAGATGAGCTTTTATCAAAACATGTTCTTATTTAATTATTGCTACTATTTTGTACAGGAATGTTATTGTTTTTCCCACATTTGTTTCTTATGTTGATAGTCTGTAGTTACATGTTTTTTATTTATATATTTATTTATTCCAATAACTGAGAGAATATGTAGTAATTTAAGTTTTATTCAGCCAGATTACAGGGAGGAAGAAGAGGATTTGCAAATTAATTTGATTTTATCTTTGTTCAATCTCCTAGCTACTGTGTATTATATATTTATTTTTGTTGAATACAGTTAAGCTTATATTTAATCAGGATTGACAATCTTTTTTAGTCCAAACCTCTTGAATAACTAGGAGTAAAGACTTTACAAACTTCAACTAAGTAATATTATAGTAAGAGTCCCTTAACTGTCATACCGTACCTTAGTGGAATGAATTAACCAAACACAAAAGAACAGAGTTGTAGAAGAATAAGCAATGTAGGAGAGAATACTGCTTGCAGTATTGGATGTAAGGGGAATTTCCAAGGTCTCTATTATTCACTGACACATGGCAAGGAAAACTGTTTGAAATCAGTTGTTTCCAGCTGGTTCTTCAGAGTAGATGGTGTTTATCACTCTCAAGGCTCTGATATGTCAAATAGTAATGATAGATGATAAAAAGAATCTTAGTCAGTGAGTTTGTCTGCCAAAAGAGCTAGCTCCGATTTAAGAGGGTATTAATTTTCATAGAGAGGCAATATTTTTTCTGTGGTATTCCTTAAACTTAATGTACTTTCTAAACTTGGATGTACTCGGATAGAAATCTGTTGTTTTAAATTGAAATTCCTCTGTTCACTCACATATTTCATTGAAAACAATATTCAGTAATGTCAGTGGTAAAAATAAGTATGAAATAGGTGATTTCTTTCTTTAATAAATATGATTTTTAGGAATTTGGCAAAGAACTGAGCTGTTTTACTGTCAAAAGTTGTATTGATATGCATGACGTATACAAATAGAAAAAAATTCCAGAGTTTTAGAGAAAAAAAAATATCTTAAAGGTAATTTAGGAAAATGTAAATGAATATAATCTAAAATACTTGTTTACTTGTCATTTAAAAATATAAATAATAGAGGTAACTTCAGGATAAAAACGTCACTATAATGTGTCGTTATATATTTTTATTCTAAGGCACGTGATTATATAGAAGTTTATCTGAAGAATATGAGATTCGTCTTGTGTTATTTGAATAACTTTTTATCTGTACAATGCAAAGACTATTTCATGATATCTTATTTTGTTAAATAATTACTAGTTTTCCAAAAGTATATAAGTTTCATAAGTGAATTTAAAATTTCAAGAAGACTCATACGCTGACAAGTCTGATTTTGCATTTTCATGCTTTGTTGCTTATTAATCCTCTAGTTGCATTAGTGACTGTTTAGGACTTTGAGAAGAGTTAGCCTCCCAGTTGTTGAAAGGCTAGTGGTCTGTACTTCCTTTTTCCCTTAACTGTTCAATTCTCAGATATTGACCAGTGGAATAAGGTAATTGAACAACTAGGAACACCATGTCCAGAATTCATGAAGAAATTGCAACCCACAGTAAGAAACTATGTGGAGAATCGGCCCAAGTATGCAGGACTCACCTTCCCCAAGCTCTTCCCAGATTCCCTCTTCCCAGCGGACTCTGAGCACAATAAACTCAAAGGTATGCTCTTCAAGAATGACTTAAGAACAACTATGAGGGTGAGGGGCCAAACAAGTACACAGTATAGAGACATCAGCCTTTTTCTCTTTGTTTCCTTTTATGTTTAGTTGACACATGATAATCGTGCATATTTATGGAATACAGGGTGATATTTTGAAATGTGTATGGAAGTATAATGGTCAAATCAGAGCAGTTGGTATAACCTATCACATCAAACATTGATCAGTTCTTTAATTGGCACAATTTCAAGTTAAAGAGAGATATTTCTTGGAAGATCTTTCCTACAAAGGGGAGAAACCATGGATTTTAGATCTGAATATTCAGAGGGAAGGATAGTGTGATGATGCTGTGCACTATGTATTTCATGGGGGGTTATTTAGAATCCTAAACTTATTTAACTCTGAAAGACCAATATAATATACATATATACATTGAAATCATGGTTTCAACCCTTTTTATTACCTAAAAATATTTTCAGTGCAAAGTTTAGTTGCAAGATTTTGGAGATGCAGATCTGAATTTCTTTTTTTTGTTAAAAATTTATGGAGTGCTTAAATTATTTTTTATTTTAAAATAGTAACTGAGATTTTATATACATTTTTTATTCAATATAAACACTTCCATTGATAAGTCATTTTTTCCTATCACTTTGTTGGCAGTTAATGTATTTGAGTAACAAATATCTTCACCCACAAAATTGACTTGATAATGCCTCAGTCTCATTTGGAGACATGGAATAAATTTGGCAATGCATAAATTGTAATATAAATAATAATACCAAATTCTTATAATTTGGGACACTCCTGGAAATCTGATTTTGAAATAAATCTGTTTCCCTCCTGCCTGGCTTCAAATATGTCCCTCTGCCTTAAAGTCTGTATGACCCTGAGCAAGTTACCTAATTTTTCTTTCCTTCTTTTAACAAATGAACATAGAGGGAACCTACCTTATAGGGTTGTTGGGAAGATTAATTGACTTAATAATTTGTCGAACACTTAGAGCAGTGCCTGGCTCACTGTGGGTGCTCAGTGACATTAAATATAATAAAAATAGTGTTTTAAGATGTATCTATAAATTATCAAAAAATAAAAACTTAGGACACATGCTTTTTAAATTTAGTCCCGAATGTTATATGAACAAATTAATTATCTACAGAGTTAACTTACAAACTTAATATGTATAGCTGAGGAAGACTTAAAGGAAATGAGGAATCTAAAATGTGGTGCCACTGTTTTCCAGGATGTTTTTATATCTTCTGAACTTTTATCTAATGGGTTTTAAATGTGCAACACTGTTTCTGAGCTCTTAACACATGTTGCACAGTTGGATTTCTTCCTTCAGCTGCCTCTATGGACTGTCTTACTGACAATGGACAAAATTATTTCTAAATCTACTGCTTTTAAGATCAACATTGCCTGTATCCAGTTTGAAAAAGAGCTGATACTCCAAGTAAAGATCTTGCAGAAATCATGCCTTCCTGATAGTAATTGAGATATCAGGCAAAAGTAATCCCTTCTTATGAAGACACTTGCAACAATACAGAGACAAAAAGCCCTCATTCAACTATTGTATGAAATCACAATAAAAAGGCTATTAAGATACTATGTTTCATGATATAATTACAATTTTCTTGAGTTTACTTTTTAATTCAATTTGAATCTCTGCAACTATATTACTTTTGTAAATGATAAACTAGTTTGCATATTTGATTATTGATTTTAATTTTTAATATAAAATTGACAAATATAAATAATCATAATATACAAATAACCAAAGAGAAGAATTTATTATACTGTATTTGGAAAAGAGCATAACACATTTGCTTTCAAATGAAAGAATGAAAGAGAATGCATTGAAACGTTTTCCCATATTGTTTCCTAACAATAGTATTGATCATTGTTTCTTAGCAAGATGATTTGGTATTGGTGTAGTTCATGATCCTATTCATGAACAGTCCATTCTAATTCCAGCTTTTTCTAAAAACAGAAAAATGGATGGATTTGATGAGAGAATCTATGAGAATTGTACATGAATTTGGATGTAAAATCAGTTACAAATTAAAGAGATCTTTAAAGCAATGAATAAATAAACACAGCTCTGTTAGGCTATTAGGAGGCCATTGACAATGAGAAAATTAAATATTGAGTAAACCTGTAAGTATTTCTGTATTTCTGTTGTTCCCGTGCAGTTCAGAGTTTTAATTTAAAAGTAATAATAGTTTCTAGGATTGAGTTTCCCAAAAAAATGTTAATAAAAAGTTCTCAAATTTGATTTAACTAGTGATTTTTTCATATTTGTTAAGAACATTAAAAGATATATTTATTGATTACCAAGTAAATTGGTAATTATTATCAATTACTAATTGGTAATAATAATTTATTAATTACCAAAAAATACAGGTAAAAAATTAATTGCTGTATTTTAACTGTAGTATAATTAATATTATGTGAAAAATACATGAACAGCACTAGAAAAAAATATGCCAATAATCATAGTCATTGCCTCTAGCTAAGGGGGTTAGATATTATTTCCTGATTTTTATATTTTATATAATTTTCAAATTTGTAGAATTAGCTCAGTTGTCTTAATCTGAAAATTGATTAAATAAAAACTGATACATGTCCACAGAGTCATCTATGTTGATTGTTTGAAAACCAATTTAATTTTTTCTCTTTAATTTGATGTCTTACCATATATTTAGAATAAACAATATTTTAACAGTTCAACTTTTTTTTTTTTTTTTTTTTTTTGAAACAGAGTCTCCAGGCACTAGGCTGGAGTGCAATGGCACAATCTTGGCTCACTGCAACCTCCGCCTCCCGGGTTCGAGCAATTCTCCTGCCTCAGCCTCCCGAGTAGCTGGGACTACAGGCGCATGTCACCACGTCCAGCAAATTTTTGTATTTTTTTTTTTTTCAGTAGAGATGGGGTTTCGCCATGTTGGCCAGGATAGTCTCGATCTCTTGACCTCATGATCCGCCCGCCTTGGCCTCCCAAAGTGCCGGGATTGCAGGCTTGAGCCACTGTCCCTGGCCAACTGTTCAACTTTCAAATCCATTGTGTAACAATATTGATTTGATATATTCATTTCTGTTAAAACTTTATGTAAAATATTACATATTTTTAGAGATTAAAATTAATGTGTCTTTTAACAATGTTATTAAATAAATATACTATCACTGTGTAATTTTATAACTGTTACTACCCACAACCATAAAATTAGTTATAATAATATTTACATAATATAGAGTTTTTCCTTAGTGTCTGGTGTAGCATTAGACTGGCTTCAGTCTTTAGCTACTGGATTTCATCAAATCATGATTCCATTGATTAAAAAATGCCTGATGATTACAGAATGTAAAAATAAAATTCAGTAGTTGAATGATATTATTTCTATCACATCAATTCTTCTATTGTTTTTATATATATAAGAAATTTGTGACTGGGAGCAGTGCCTCACTCCTGTAATCCCAGAATTTGGGAGGCTGAGGTGGGAGGATCCATTGAGCTTAGAGTTCGAGACCAGTTCGGGCAATATAGGGAGACCTTATCTTTACCAAAAAAAAAAAAAAATCATAATATAAAAAAGCCGGACATGATGGTGCATGCCTGTAGTTCCAGTTACGTGGGAAGCTGAGATGGGAGGATCCTTTGAGCCCAGGAGTTCCAGGCTGCAGTGAGCTGTGGTCATTCTGCTGCACTCCAGCCTGGCAACAGAGGGAGATCCTGTCTCAAAAATAAATAAACAAATAAAATTAAATTAATAAACAAACAGAGAAAGAAAAGAAATTTGTCTGATTCAAACTGTTAAGTCAATTTGTATACTTGAATTAAATTAAAATTCTGATAATTTCGCTGTATGAATAAGAATATAAAGACACACATGTTAATTAACTTCAAACAGGCATCCACACTTTTGTTGAACATCATGCATTTACACTTTCCATGCACTTTATTCTGTTTATCCTATATTCACACAGGTTACCAAAGATGATTACTTTGCTTGCGTAAACTCTCTGGGTTGATACATCTTACTTAGAAATTTGAGTATAAAATTATTTGAATAATTTTATACTCAAAGCAGTATAACCCTTAGCCTCAAAATGAAGCCTTAGGCTTAGAGACACAAAGAAACGGGTGTAAAATGCATTTCCTTTCCATCACATCAAAGAATTTACCTGATGTTTGGAAGGAAGATACTATTCCATACTTTATTTTCTTAATTTCCTCTCTGTTCAACAAATTTCCTTACTGAAATCAAAATCTTACTAATTATTTTTCTCATTTATTGTTTTAGCCAGCCAAGCCAGGGACTTGTTGTCAAAGATGTTAGTGATTGATCCAGCAAAACGAATATCAGTGGACGACGCCTTACAGCATCCCTACATCAATGTCTGGTATGACCCAGCTGAAGTGGAGGCGGTAAGAAATAGGCTTCCTTTACTTTCACAAAGCACAGTTCATAGCAAAAACTGAACAAAACTAGAAGACAAAATAATTCACAATGGACTTGTATAAATTTTCTAAGTCCAAAGCCTATTATCTGCCCCTCTAAAAGTTATTTTCTTCAATATATGTTTTAAATATGTTTTTTACAGGGCTTACTAGAAGAGGGGATGATTTAGTCCAACAAGCCTTAGATGTCCGTGACACACTACCATTGTTTCTGTTAAATTGCTAACACTTGTATTTCTTCTTGCGTGTTTAACTGTAAGCCTCTTCGAATGCAAACTTAATGGTATGAAACAACAGAGGACAAGTTGCTTTGCTTGCATTTTTTTTAAAAAGATACCTGCCACTAGTAAAATGTGATACTTAAGGATATTTCAGTGAGAAAGTTTTTATAAGACCATTGGTGCCTTGTGAAACCTTCCATGAACTAGACGAACTAGAAGTGGGTATTTCAGTAAGTGCATTCCTTCAGGGTGATCGGTATGATGTATCTCCAGGTCTTATACCCAGACATGGAGAATCTTCTCAGAAGCTTAACTCTTTCTATCTTAAAACGTATTTTTTAACCATTTAATACCTTCTATTCAACCTCCTTCTTTTATCTTTACCTCTCTCCTTTCTTCTGTATGAATCCAGGCTGAGCAGGGCAAGGGGGTCTTGCTGTTGCCCATGTGTGCTCTAGAGGCCTCCTGATGAGAATTTCCTTTCTGTACCACCTTGAAATGTTCCTGCCAGCAGCGTTACCTTCTCCCACAAACATGAAAAGCTTCTCAAATTCTTAGAGTTCCTGTGATAAATCATCTCATTTCCTTTTACATAACACCTTCAAATTCATTTGTTTGGATTTGTTCTTAATCTTTCATTTGAAATACTGTTTATTTCTCCAAGGTATTCTTGAGGATATTTTCACTTTCTTTCAGTTTTCTTCCCTCTGCTTCACCATGTGTTTTTCCATGTCAGGGTGCCAGATTCAAACACATAATTCCCATTTCTTCATTCTTCACTAGAGAAGATATGAAAGATGGCAGGGAGGACTCAATAGTTGAACTTTACAGACACAATATTCAAGAGCTACTTTTCATAATGTAACCCAACCTTTAAACATTTAAAAACTTCAGAGAAAACACTTAAGTGATTAATGAGTCTCCCAAATGTGGAAACCGAAGTGTAATCATCCTGCATTACATTTTTTTAAAGATCTGCTCTCTTAATTAGTTTTACAATGATGTTGAAGTTTCATTTTGCCTTAAGTTAATTTTTAGTCATTTTATTTGATTCTTACAAAATAAAATCCCTACAATTAAATATTTCTGAGTTTAATTATAATGCTCCTAAAATTAATATATATTCTTACAACTAAAATATAGAACCTCTTCTAGTGTCTCACACTTGGGAAATACTTGCAAAGATATTCTTGAGATGGAATGAAGTAATGAAGTGAGTGGGTGAGAGAAAATATGATGTAAATGTATATGAAAATTAAGTATAAAAATTTTATCTCTGATGAAATTCAAGAAAATATTTTAGGTTATGTTGATAAAAATGTTATATAAATATAACTTATTTGAAATTGCTTCTCCTTATTTATTTAGAGTCATGTTAATTTTGGCCCCAGTATGTCACATATTTATTTTTTCTTATATCTAACTTAATGTGTTTAATCTGGTTTTAATGGGTTGTGGCCTAGAGTTTAATTAGAGTCATAAAGTCTGCATTTGTAATTCACTTGTAAGTATGTTGCCTATAAAAGAGATAGTTGCTTGGAATCTATAACAACATCATACTGAATAGTATCAATGAGTTTTTAAATTTATTTTAACTTTTTATGAAAAAAATGCTTTGTAGAATGAAAAGATAAAATTTAGGATACTAAAATATCTAGAGCCTTTTTCTTAATCATTTTGATATTGGCATGCTAGGGCATGGCTAGCAACAAGGCAGAATGCATGAATTTTAGGGGAAGGATCTGATAGAGGCTTCAGGTCCAGGAAAAGAAATCAGTTAATACACAGAACAAGCAAGTATTTGACATCTAGACTGAGATCATTGATTGTACAAGGGTAAACATGTCTTACATCTAGACATTTTATAGTGAAGAGATGGGAATCCCGATACTAGGGGAAGAACGATTTATTACTCTATGAAGTGCATAACAGTGGTCACAACTAAGAAAAGACAGATCCTGAAGTCTGTAGTCATCTATGCTTTCTGCAGAATCAGTAGTCAACTATGCTTTCTGCAATATCCTTAGAATTCACGTCTCTGTTATTGCATGTGAACATATGTCTAAAATAAGATGACCTTTCTTTATGGACACATGGCAAAATTATAATAGAGTGATGTATCTTCTGCCAGGGCTGACAAGACTTTTGCAAAATGTACTCCTGTATGTCTTTATAATCCAAATAAATGGAAGTATCAAATAATTAGGATTTTCATTCTGATCAAAGAGCCTTCAAGTAACTCACGTCCTGTTAGAAAGGGAAGGAAATTCAAAGGTGTGAGAGAAGAAAAATAAGTTTCATTGGATGGAAATAATGGCAAGAGGACAAGAGATAAAGGAGAAACTCTGATAATGTGATAATTTAGAGGATAAGTGGAAAGAGTATAGATATGTTATATGTACTAAGCTATTAATCATACTATGAGCTATCTTATCACGTTTCCAAAACTACCAAAGTACAAAAATCAAATGAGAAGAGCACATGAATGAATATTTTCATAATTCTAAGAGGAAAAATTAGTCATGTATGCATGAGTTTGAAAGTATTTAAAATTGGATGCTAAGCTCAAGAGTAATTTATCTGTGTAGTAATAGTACATAAATATTTTGAAGTAACTGTTCAAATTATTAGCAAGTTGTTATTCAAATAATGTTTAGAATAACCGTGTGGTTTCAAAATGGAACACGCAATTTGCATATAATGTCAATGCTTTTTCATGAAACAATTGGAAGATGCTCTAACTCTGGTTCAGTGTTCATTAAGAGGGCAAATATATTGCACACAAATGTAATTGGTTGAGTTGTTTGCATCTTCATAGATATGAAAGCTGAGTTAGGTTTAAATTTCTGTTCTGCCCATTACTAATTTGCTTTGATCAAGCTTCTTAACCTTTCTGCAATTCAGTTTTCTAAACTAAGAAAGTTCGCTTTTCCCATCATATGTACGGCATAGCATTCTGAGATTTTGAAGAGTTAATGTGCATAAAGTACTTACCAAGTGCTTAGCAGTCAGTAAGAATCATATAAATTATTCTTACCCTTATAATACCATTACTATTATGACTTTTACATGCATAGCTTTACTACCTTTTGATATTAGAAAAGGATATATGCATCTGGTGAAAAAGACTAGCTGGACAAGATATTGCAGAAATATTCCACAACATTTATTTTTTGAATAACGATGAAGATGATCTAATTCCCACATTATTTTAGGTCCATTTTTTCTTTTTCTTTTGTCCGATGTATACCTACCTCTTCTTTGCCAGGTAGAAGAGCATCTAGTGTTGTTAGTTTAAACCAAAATAAAAACAGATTATAGAGTCCACAAATCCTGATTATTATTCTCTATACTTTGGGAAAAGTAGGAGATATTTGGGATTGTTTTGGGGAACTCAGTTTAATATCTTCCTTGTGCCCTGTTGGAGGAAAATGCAGTGTTCATGAAGCTTTATTCCCTTATCTCTTACCAGATTATCGAGTTTAGCCACCCTTCTAGGATGCAGTGGTGGCTTCACCCCTGAGAATGGGGCTATAGAGCACCTTTAAGGAGCATCTGGGTGAACTCCAAGCTAAGGAAGAGTTGATTATTTCTCAGGGCACATAAGAAGGGGATTTATGAGGAACATAAGCTGTAACTATTTTTAAAAGCAGTTTTATTTCTGCCAGAAATTTCAGAGCACTTCAAGAAAGCTCCTGAGTACAATAGTCTTACAAAAGGCTCTATCCTGCAGTTCTTGTTCTTGCAAGGGCATAGGGAGAGGACGCGGGAGAGGGAGGTGTGTGTTCAGGCAAAACCAAATTCTTCAAAAACTCAAAGAAATCATCGTGAAGAAGGCTATTACAAACATATGGAGTCAGTGGGCACTTTTCGGTTCCTCAAGTCTTGACTAAAAGGAAGGACCTAGACTTGAGACTAGAACCATCCCCTAAGATGGGAGAGGTGCTGGGGCCAAGCTTCATGGCCAGTGGTGATCAACCAGATAGACCACTGTGTTGAAGGCTGTTTCAGAGAGGCCCAGATATGTTAATGGCTGAAACCTTACTCTTGGAATTAGGGCAGAGAGGCAGGTTGAGCTGCTTGGGCCACTGGCATTTTGAAATGTTTTTCTCTAGTGGGTGAACCTAGGGTACTTGAGAACCCAGAGGACAGCTGGCAGGAAACATAGAAACTTCTGTGTGGCAGCCAAATGAAAGTTCCAGAAGAGAATGCTGGAAACGAGGCCTGGAAATGGTACTCCAGGTATAATGTAGACCACAGAGAGAGAGTGGGCGTATTTTGTTTGGGAATCGAAGGACACATGACATCCTCAACTAGAGTAAGACAAAAGGTGTAACTAATTCATCCAGTTTGATTGGAAGGTGATTTGGTAAAAAAGGGCCAGTGCTGAGCTTGTTTGTTATTTTTTACCTAACTCAAGATTAATTTGGGAATTGGGACAGGGAAGGGTGGGAATTTAACCTATCAATATAGATCCTGAATTAAACAACCTGATCTTTGGATTCCCAGTGAGAGTATAACCTGAGAAACAGAGTAACACTTACATGTATTTGTGCTGAAGTTCAATTAAAATAAACACTTAGAAAATATGAGCCCAGAATAGTCAACACTATTACACATTTACTGTTTGTTTATAATGTAAAGTAATTAAGAGGGTCTTAAATACTTTGTTGATATTATTATTTACTAGTTCATTACTTTAGGGATTATGTTATTTTTGCCTACAGTGAAAGAATTTATAGAAAC